TTTTAAAAATATTTTTTTTTATATAAAGTTATCGACATTTAAATTATGTTGTTTTCTTGTGTTTGAATTACGAAACACGATAAAATGTTTGCAAAAATGCACATTTATTGTAAATTATTAAAATAATGATAATAATTAAGTACACATTAAAAACGTGTGCAAAATTCCTATTTCGTTAGTCACACGTGTACATTCAATTTATAATGATCAGTAAAAGTTTGTGTGACACCAATATCGTACGAAGGTTTAAAATGGTAAACAATTACCATTATTATGCACTCCTTATAATAACCTACGAAGGACTGAGCCATTTAGGAACATTTGAACATTTATAATGATAGGATTGACTAACAAATTAACTTCTTATTACTTTCATCAGTGCTTTTGCAAATGTGTAACTACGGTTTATTAATAAATAACTCACTAATATTATTAGCCATTTTCAGAACATCAGTAAATAAATATACATACAATAAAATTAAATATTACACCAAGCATTTTTTATTCGCATTTTTTTTTTGAAAAGCGATTTTATTTAATTGTTATAGATATTATGTATTAGTTTTTTATTTATTTATCTCATGGAAACATGATGAGTTATGTAACTCGTTTTGGATAAATTAATCGTTCTGGGATAATTTCACATATTTATAAAGCCATTATGCATGATTCTTATCTCTGTAATAATACATACGTGCCAATTATAAGTTGTTAAGTATTTTGAAACTAGCTTGTATTTGAGTACAGTTTACAAACCTGACTTAATAGTTAAGTACCTCAAACTTTTTGATCCGTAATCTACTTTTGTACCAGAAAAACGGGTATGTGTAGAAAAACATACAGGAAGGGGGTTAATTTAAATTTAAAACACCTACATGCGTATCTATTACAACATCACAAACTTCAACCGATTGTGATCATCAATAGAATTTTGAAATTACCATGACCGCATATACGTTAATACCAAGAAAATTACTAATAAAAATTTTGTGGAAACATTTTTATTTCGTACATAGACATATATACCTCTACTGTGGTCTTCTCAAGGATATTTAGAAAATTAAATTAATCGCTACTACAACTTCCTGGTAGATATATAAAAGGCCATATCAACACGTACCAGTCCATTTTATTAAATTAATTTACTGACATACCCCTTCCGGAAATATAACACAACATTTATCTGGGATGTTTTGCTGCACTTTTTGGTCCCTAAATTCGGGAAAAGCGTATTGTACCTAGTTTCTGGGCAAGAATATGGTAAAAAATTGTGTACGAGGCTTGTTAGTGAGGTAAACTCTCGGTACGGGGTGGCGTACTTTTTTCCCTAGGTGTATAATATGCTATTGTTACAGGGATATTACTTTCATCACAAACAAATTTCGATTTCAATTTACATATATTTTTTTACCATACAATTGAATTGAAATTACTTAGATATGTATGTATTAGCAAACATACATAATTACGGTTCGTAATCTTTAACTGAACCTATTTAGATTTCCTTTGTTCTTAAAATAAGTCCATAACATAGTAATAATCTCAACAAAAGATTACCGAGAGGATATTTAAAAATAGTGCAGACTGTAGACTGTAGAATAATATCCATCGCATGGAGGAGTCATTTAATACTAGATTTGGTAAAATCTTATAATTGAAATTAACGTTTTTTCTTTGTAAAATAAAAGTGTGTTAAAAATAGAAATCCATATTGTTAAAGATAAAAATTATCTTCATTTCTGCTAACAATGTTTATTAAACCTATGCTTACAATAATGTAATCATTAAAAAAGTATCTTTTGATAAAATTAAAACTATGAGTATCAAAAGGGTAGGTAATCAAATCAACATCGTAACGCAATGATTGGATACTCAGTTTTTTTTTAATAGGCTTTTGTAGGTAGATAGGTATAATACATGTAACTGTTAAACAGATATAGGTATACATGTAAATACTTTTTTGAGATAAAAATAGATTATACTTCGTTAACCAAAATAGATGAAAAAAATGAACTCAAGTTCAACTACCTAAAATTTAACTTGTTAATTACAATAAACTTTTAGTAATCAATAGTCCTGGTGGTGTAATATTAAAAAACGTACAGATTTTACAGGTAAATATATTTAATTGTACATTGCTTCCATGTTAAAATAGGTAGGTGTGCAGGTGTATATATTAATTATCTACCTTAAAATTAGTATATTTCTCAATATCTTCATTATTTATTAGACAATAGTATTCTGCACACTTACCTATATTTAAGCACCGTTCTTTGAAAAGCGAAAGTAAAAATTGTATTTGCAGGTAGTGTTAAATGAATTTTAACACAACATAATTTTATAAACATGTATTTCTACTTACTTTTAAAAACCCTTTGCAAATATCTGTCTCGTGCATGTATACCTAAATAGTTTTTCGTTTTATTATTACGAAACCATACACATATCACACTTTTAAACACGCATTTGAAACCAACCTTTCGGAGTTGAACGTTGTTTTGTCTTATACTAACTTTATTTTTGAAAAACACAAGGGTTTAATAACTACCGTCTAACATTTCAACATGTCAATGTCAAGTCACAATCACTAGCAATGTGTTCACCATTTAATCAGAGTAGATGAAGCGGACTGAAAACGTAATTCATGCAAACAATTCACTAATAATAATAATAACTCGTGTCGTATTATCACATTATTAAAACCACAGTTTTATCGTTTTACTTTGTTAAAGCATGATTAGTTCCACAGTACCATTTAGCTTTTAACACTGCTTAACAGTATCAGCAATAGATATTATTGTATAACTGAGTATGGTTGGTTGCAGAAGAAGTGTCGAAATTCAAACGAAAATGTACTAAATGAAGCCAACAAAAAAACAACTAGATTAAAATGTGGCTATGGCTGACTTAAAATAGATGTAAAATATAACTATAGTTTTAAATAGTTCTTATTTATAAGTAAAGTATTTTAAGTTACAAATAAAAATAATTTAGAAAAAATATTTGAACTTATAAAAAGATGTCATCATCAGTCAGTCTCTATGGATTGGCTACATAAAAACGGAGAAGGGGAAGGCGTTGGAAGGGGAAATAAGCGTGATGGGAAAAGCAGGAGGGAGAAGAAATTCTAACCTAAATTATGTGAAAAGAATTATAACCAAAATTTAAGATACATCAAAAGTTTTAATTCATTGCTGTTGAATGTATAAATATCATTTGTTAAATATCAGGGTAATTTCTGCAAATGAGACCTGTCTTAAGAAAAATTATTGGATCTGTTGCTGATATTGTAAAATACGCATGTATTGTTCATTGTACATTAGAATATGTTGGAGATTTTGTAATAGTAAGTTTTAAAAAATTAAAATAGGCATCTGATAAAACCAGATTTAATTTAGTGTAGTGGGCCTTCGATGGAGCCAACCCTTCATACAAATGACGTTTTATTGACGGAACATTTCACCCCAAGACTCAGGGATATTAAAAGAGGCGATATTCTTATTGTAAAGTGTCCCACAGAATGTGAACAGTTGATATGTAAAAGGGTAACAGCCCTTCCAGGCGATAAAGTCCAAGTTGGATATCAGTCTTCAGTAGTTATACCTATGGGGCACATGTGGCTAGAAGGCGATAATTATTTTAACTCATTAGATTCCAGATCTTATGGACCTGTTCCTCAGGGATTAGTTCGTGGAAGAGCGTTAATGAAAGTCTGGCCGTTCAGTAGCGCTTATGTTCTTAAATAAGTGTGTAGGTATTATATAAGTAAGTCTTAAAGTAATGTTATTAGTGCTTAAGATTGAAATTTTTGTATTATTATTGCTAAATCAATAAAAACTGAAAGCTCCTGTATTATTGCTGGTAATTAAAAAGAATGAAATAACAAATGTGTATTATGATTTGAATTTCAATTTTGAAATAATTCTCTGACCTCTGATAGGTCAATAGAAATTGGCGATCATAGATTAAGTTAGTCATTGATCAATGAACTTAGATGAGAGATACAGTGATCATTGAGATTCTGTTCATAGATTTTATCATCGGCCATCTGGAATTGTAGAGAGAAAGCTGAGTTGTGTTAGTTCGTAAGTATGAATACTGGTGTCGCTACAAAATTCAGGTTTAATAGCTACGATGAATTTTGAGAATTCCAGTTGCTACGGTAAACCGGCGGGCTTGTTGTTAGCCCTGCCATGGCTTTATACAAACGGAAGAAACTGTGACTGATTATTAATAATTCGGAAGGTTGTCTGTGATACTGAATTAAAAAATTAATGGCTTACTTAAATACCAGTGATTAAAACGATATTATATTGAGTACAAAATCAGGGTGGCTTTTTCTAATCTTGTGTAGTACCGACCTTTTTAAATAAATTTTATAAAAGCGCCGACTAACAATGTTTACCAATAAATTCAAACATTACTTGCACTGTTTAACGTTGTTTACTGTGATAATAATATTCGAATGGTTTACTGGAGGTGTTAAATTATTTGAAAATTCGGATCTTGAAATCAATCCCTGGGTGCGTTACGGCTACATGTGGACATTTGTGTTGTATTTTTTACGACTTATTACATTCCTTCCTTTGCCTCAAGTATTATTCAATTTTTTTGGTTTAACAATTTATAATGCATTTCCAAGTAACGTGACATTGAAAGGTTCGCCGCTGTTGGCACCCTTTATCTGCATTAGGGTGGTGACTAGGGGCGACTACCCCGAACTGGTACAATCAAACGTTAATAGAAATGTAAACAAGTGCATCGATGCTGGTTTAGAGAACTTTTTCGTTGAAGTGGTCACGGATAAGGCCATTGAACTTCAAAAACACCGAAGGGTAAGAGAAATCGTGGTACCCCCCTCGTATCGTACTAAAACGCGCGCTATGTTCAAAGCTAGAGCTTTACAATATTGTTTAGAAGATAATGTCAACATCTTATCAGACAACGATTGGATCGTTCATTTAGATGAAGAGACCCTTCTAACGGAAAATTCGATAAAGGGTATCTTGAATTTCGTCATGGACGGAAAACATCAATTCGGTCAGGGGTTAATTACTTATGCTAACGAAGAAGTCGTTAATTGGGTTACAACCCTAGCCGATAGTTTTCGCGTCTCTGACGACATGGGTAAAATGCGTTTGCAATTTAAAATGTTTCATAAGCCTTATTTCAGCTGGAAAGGATCGTACGTTGTTACTCAGGTGAGTTATTCATGTGTAACATTCTTTATTTATGTACTTGAAACATTTTTTTTGTTTCAACTAGGTATACCTTGAATAATTCAAAGGTCGTTTCGTGGTGGCATTTCGTGTTCACAAAAATCATTATTTCAGTGGCGTACTTATACATTTTACGTTACTAGATCGAATTAACAGAATTTTACTTAAGACTGAGATTGCTTTAGACATTTTGAAAAATAATATAGCATTGATTAATTCGATATTTGTACAATTATATGTATACCTAATAGTTAGGTTGTCGTGTACTAAAACCTGAATCAGTATCAAAAATACAAAGCTTCAAAGGTACTATAATTAACTACCTATTAACCCGGGCTAATGAATGAGAAGTTATCTATCAAAATAAGTAGAAGTATTTTTTATATTTATTTTTCAGTGTGTATTTTAATATTTTTCATTGGGAATTTCTTAACTTTTAAATCAAGCATTGCTTTACTTTTTATCTCGTAACGTAGTAAATAATCATTATGACCATCCATAACAGCGTTAACTGGAGGTGAGGTAATTTGTTTTGTTTGTTCCCGATCAACTTCGAAATTGTCAGTAATAATAAAAATTTATATAATAAAAAGCTTTGCTCTTTCATGTAGGTACTGCAATTACAAAAAATACCTCTTTACCATTTTTTTTTAACAAATTCTTTTCCCCATTATCACGTACAGTATTTGTTTATTCTATGAAAGTACATAATGCCTTGTTGAAAGTCGATTTAAAAAAGTCAATACATATATGCCAATTCGTTTACGATATAAAAAACGATGTAGGTACTCGTCACATTACCTTTATATTGTGTTTGCTATTTACCGGCAATTTCCAATTAAATTGCTGCTTTCGTCAGGTCTAATTGCTTACCAAACACAAATTAATTGAATCCCTGTGTTTTTGTGGATATCATTGCCAGATACAATAATAAATTGCAAGGTCATTTATAAACAGTACTGGTGCTTGTTGGTACTTACTTAATTGAAAGAGTCAGTTTTAATATTCATAAAATGCATATGTACAAATGCCATGTATTTATTTATTGCTAAATTGTATTCAGTCAACTAATTTCCTCAAAATCTTACTTAATTAGGTACCCCTTTTTTAAATTCAATCTGTATCTTGCGAATATTACTGTTACGCATATTTTTAAAGATTATATTTCGATTTAATGCTAACTACAATTCCTCGTAAATCAATAATTTCACTTCAAGACATCTTTTTTTTTATAAAATACATGCGCAAGCATAAAAATGATTGGTACAAATCAATTTTACATTTATATTACATAGGCACACCTATGTATACATTTATTCATAAATATAAATACAAACAATGGGTTTTTATAGATAATGCATTCATGAAACAATTTCTTTTGTACACATATCCGCATTAAAATGTTATTGTATAATAGTTTTTAGATTTTACTTACCATTGTAGATATAAAATCTATTTACAATCAAACCTCCCCGGCTCGAACCTCTTAATTCTAATCATTCGAGTTAAGGATTTCTAATTTGTCATCAAACATTGAATGTTTCTTTCGATGACATCCCTTGTATGCATATTTTACTGTCCATCTCTAATAACCCTCTACAGTCTCACATCACGACGTCAGACAATACAACTACTTCGTTTGTGTTGTCTTTTCTAGCGTAACTTTATTATCCTGGTCTAGTCTTTTTTTTTGTTTTCCATAGTGGAACATTTAATTGATTATCGCTGCGTTTGCCAACTGCATGATTAAAACAAGCGGAAACAACTTAAAAACAATTTGAAATTTTAATATGGAAAAAACAAACCCTAAATCCAAAATTGTGTCAAGTCTTTCATAAGGTTTTTAATACTTGAATTTTACGATTAAAGAAACATTCGTGGTAATGATAAGTGCCACTAAACAATAACATTCTTTCATAATTTTATTACTCGTTTAATTATCTATTTATAATAGTGTACTTTTACATAGAAAATTTCAAGCATTAATTGTCAGCAATACTAAGGTTTTATATTGTACTCTTTTGATACCTACATTGTGATCCTATTAGATATTATGTTATTTATTCATTTTCCAAATTGTTTTATAATTACCGTTCAATTACAGTTTTAACTTGATTCAAGAACAGGAAAAATCAGTGCAAAGAAGCGTTGTAAAAATGAACGTCTACAAATTTTATTATTTGGCTAGTATGTTGTTGGTTGTATGAGCTTAAGTACTCCAATTATCTTTATGACTATGCATCATTTCTGACATAATCGTCATACTACGGTCACGTAGGTATTTTATAAAAGGAAAATCAAATCATTTCAAAAATTTCACTAAACGAATTCAAATTTCAGTTTTTTTTTTAAATTGCACTTTATCGTATTGTTTTAATAAGGAAATAGTTATGCTGTAATTTTTTCAAAAGTAAATATCTACTAGGTACATTTATTCTATCTTTTAGTCGTACCTATTTGTCTATTTGAATCTTTTAATTCAATGTAATTTGCAGTATTGTGAAGAGCATTTGTAATTGAATGCATCCTTATAAATAAAAACGCATATATGCTGGTTTATTTATAGAAATGAGTACTTAGTTACAATTTTTAGTATTTAAATATGTCGTGACTTTGATAGTTATTTTTGAATAACCATCAAGTTGTGGGTTGAGTAACAACTTTTGCACAATTTTATTATTTTTTTATAATGTAAAATACTACTGCGCATATACGTAAAACCTACAGCACTTACTATTATTTATAGTAAGTATAGACAACCATGTAAAATTGACGTTTAAAACAAAGACTCAAAGGAAGTCTCAGGTAGTTGACCGTTTAATAAACCTTGTGGTTTGTAAAATACTTGTTGCAATTGTTTTTTGTTTTAATTGTATGAAACTATGAAACCAGTTTTTAAGCTATTGTTTGTTTCATGGTCCCCTAGGGCATTATAATATGTAGACAACAACATAAAATGAAAACGTTGTCGCTAATGGATGTATGAAATTGTGAGCGAAATATTTCTAAACCATGGATTTTTATTTAATTTTCTTTAATAAAGGCACGGTAACATCAAAACAAACCAGCGCTCATTTAAAAAGTAAGAGACCGTTTCAATTTCGAATAAACCGCAGAAAATATCCATCACAACACTTACTTCGTTCGTATTGTCTTTTCCTACCGTAACCGTAGGATTCTAAGCAATCAAATAATAGCAAATTTAATACAAAATCATAAGGAAAAAGCACAATAATGATAACAAATTTAACACTGGGTTAGTTGGGAGCTGAGGGTCGGTAAAAACGACCAACATTTTGCATGGAAAATATATGATGTCTCATTTTTTTTTTTTAAATAAATGTACCTGAGCGAACAAACACTTGTGACTATGTAAACTTTGTTATCTGAAGCAGTAGCAAGTCTAACGTTTTTGTCAACGAATAATATAAAAGAACAGCAAACATACAATCTGTTTGCTATATTGATAATATTGTGTTCACAAGCCTTGTAGTGCCGTTTGGGTCGTTATTATTAAAAATTAGACAAAGTCCAAGAAACATATATTCTGTGTTATCCAATGATGATTAATGACCTCCATCGGTTGAGCTCAGTAACCATATATAGTAAAAAAAAATTTAGTTAATTTTATATGTAGAACATACAAGAATAGTCTGGTCTTTAATCACAATAAAATTATTATCTTTTCAATCTACAGTTTCTTAGCTACAAAATGTTTTTTTTTTTTGAAAGTCGAATTGGAATTTCAAGTTTTAGCTCCAATATCCTAAAATATGTTCTGTTTGAATCCTAAAATGAAATTTGTTACAGTGGATAAATTAATAAAAAAAAAGTATACTAGAATTTGTAGAGTAGGTGTTCAGTAGTTTAATTTTAATCTTTATTTTTCCATTACAATTACAAATATTTGATAAACTGTTTCGACGAATAAACCACAAGACAATATTCGCATGAAATTGTTTATTTGCTGTTGTTACGTATAAAACAAAAAAATTACTGTTTTTTTCCAATGAATCGCAATGTCACTTTTACTGGAGTTTATTTTACGTAATTTGTTAGTTAATATTTTCAACTCAAAAATAATATGATTTTGACTTTTTTGAAACATTTTGACATGAGTAGAATTTCAAAATTTTTTGCTCTCTGTATCAAGGATTTGCACATTATGTGTGAAGCTTCTAACAGACGGACAGACAAACGTTTGACCTTTCCGGACGGAATCCTGTGAAATTTAAAAATGATGTTACTGAAAAAATGTCTTTTATAATGATAACAAGGGTCAGCGTAATCTCACATGTGTGGATCGTACGATATATTGTAACGGGCTGACAGTATACTCTAAAATTGGATAATAAGTAATACCATTATTATTGTAATATATTCATGATACTGCCACGAGCGGTTGTACGATTACGAAAAATTTTTTTTTAACAATAAAGGAGAAAACGTTCTCTTGTAATAATTGAGACATTATAATATATATTTTTTATATTTATTTGCAATGAGGGAGACTTTTTTATATAGATCACTCCAACGTATTTTTTATTGAAGATTTATGATTTTTATTTTACCTTTAATATTTTTTGGTCACATTAATAATTATATATATAATGAGTTATTATGTTCTGCTGAATCGTTTAACGGTGATATTATTTGTATTTGTATATGATTTTTTTTTTCGTTTTTAAGATTGAAATTTAACTGTTACGTCAAGTATTAAGTTTAGGTATTAGATGGTTAAAAAATTATAACGTTATCAATCTAAAGTAACAATTTGCATTTAATTAAATTCAATTGTCGACCTAAACGTTCGAAGGCATTCACTTTTTTAATATTATTTACGCCTTTGATGTCTTAATATTAATATTAATAAGTAATTATCTGATATTATTTTTAACTACGTATACGTAAGGTACTTAATCTAAATGTTCAATCTTAATGTGTTATTTATCTTTATATATACTTAATAGCTACCCGGAAGCAGTGTTTCAGCAGATCCCAAGTACATGTGCCATATATTAAATTAATAAATCGGCATCATTTATTCATTAAAAAAGAGTGCAGGACGATTGGCCACACAGCTTACGCGTACGTGACTTATAAAGAGTGTATTTTCGTGAAATTTGTTGTCTTTGGAGGGGCGAGCATTAGTATACATATGTATAGTCGTGAGTGGTATCAAAGGAATAGTACATGTGTCCAAAACACAAAAAAATCGAAAAAGTTCATTGTGGTACTGTTCACATGTCTAAAAATTTCTCGTTAAGTATACAGATATTGAAATAAAGGTGTGGTACTCGAGGAAAGAACATGTGTTTTTGTTTATGACTTACTAAAGTCATCATTACTTGGGATCCTTTTAGTGTGAAAAAGTAGTTCTCTTTTGTTTCAGGTTGGTGCTGAAAGGCAAGTATCATTCGACAATGGTCCTGATGGTTCTGTTGCGGAAGATTGTTTTTTTGCAATGAAAGCGTTTAGTGAAGGTTACACGTTCAATTTCATCGAGGGCGAAATGTGGGAGAAGTCCCCCTTTACCCTGTGGGACTTCATGCAACAACGAAAAAGGTGGGTGCAGGGCATCTTGCTCGTGGTTCATTCGAAAGCCATTCCGTGGAAGAAGAAGATCCTCCTGGCCATATCGTGTTATTCCTGGGTCACACTTCCCTTATCTACCTCCAACATAATCCTGGCGGCGGTCTGTCCTGTACCCTGTCCGCCCCTAATGGACTTCATAGTGGCCTTTATAGGCGCAGTTAATATCTATATGTATGTGTTTGGCGTAGTGAAATCGCTCAGCATACACCGTGTCGGACCTTGCAAACTTTTTCTGTGCATTCTCGGTGCTCTTTTGACCATGCCGTTCAACGTTGTAATAGAGAACGTTGCCGTTATATGGGGTGTTATCGCGAAAAAGCACAAGTTCTACGTGGTTAACAAGAACATAAAACCACCCACTATCGTCTGATCGTTGGTAATTACCTACCTATCTAATAGTGGAATCGTTACGTGAGGTGTCATAATTATTATTATTATTGCGTGGCCATTAGGAACGTTATTGTTCTGCGACTTCCCGATTTATTACTACATTTCAACACGAAAATTATCATTTTCCGAATTTATAGGCTATTGAAAAGGGGTTTTATGTTTAAATATGTTAATTTGGTACGTAAAAATAATAAAAACGCAAAGTACTACTAAATATGATGGTACGTTCTTGAGATCGAATTGAAAAAGCCCATTTTTTAGTTTTTTCACAACTCAAACATTATGTTCTACTGATGCAATGCAGATGCGGATGTGAACAAGTATGCGGAAGCAGAAGTCTGCATCAAAAATACTTACTATACTACGATATAATTCGTCCATAAATTCTTTTTTCATTTACTACAAAAAATATTCTTGTTCAAACTCTTCAAGTGCATAATTTTTGAGTTATCTGGACAAAACTAAAAATGGATTTTTTCAATTGGATCTCAAGAGCGCACCCTGACATTTAGCAGCACTGTGTGATTTCATCATTTTTAGTTGTCGAACTAACATATTTAACGACGCACCAGTACTTGATTTTTAACATATTTAATAGCCTATTATTAATATAGACCTTATGAATTATTGTCTGCTACAATTTATCCTCTGAAATACATGAAATAGTAAAACCGTAGACAAAACGTTTTAAGTACACCACAGTACAGTTTCTTATCTATTTAAACTAAAATTATTTTATTTTTCTGTTAAATTGCCTAGAAGCTAGAAGCGTGCTCATATTTTTTGTTGATTTGTTTGTAGATTAATTATTATCCCTAGGTTAAGCATAAAAATTGCACAAATTACATTTAGATACTTCTACCGATTGAAAAAATTCGAATTTTATTTGACTGATAATTAAGCTTTATTTAATAACACAAAATCTTCACGTTTTATATAAGTCCGAACAGTGTGTGAAACGTAGATCTGAATTACATAATATTTAATATAAATTATGTAAAGTTTGATACCTGTAATACCTAATACTGTTACTGATATTACAGTGAAGACCAAGAAAACCGCTTTGTCATTATTGTGACAAGAATCTCACTTTAGAATGCTCCTTGTACATATTAAGATAATAATATATTCTCAAATGTTCTATTTATTTTCAAGTTAAATACTATCTTATGTTGGTCTTTGCTGTGTTGCAACAAGATCTGATAATGCGTATGTGAAAAAACACCAAGATATTTTTACTTTTGATATTGTTTTGTTGACTTGGATAATGCATATATTTTGCTCATTTTTTTTTGTCAAAGTGTTAAAATCGTCATGGTTTGCAATAATATCTAATTAAATAAATTCATTGATTGAAATGTTTTATTTATACNTGATTTACCGCTGGTGTTTCCTTCTGTGTTGTTATTTTCAGAAGTGCATAGCCACTAAAACTGCACACAAAGAGCCAAAATGCAGATTTTATAATTTTATCGGCCATACATCTAAGAACTTGTCCTCTTCCAGTAATCAGAATCTATCAAACTGCTCATTTTTTTTTGTCAAAGTGTTAAAATCGTCATGGTTTGCAATAATATCTAATTAAATAAATTCATTGATTGAAATGTTTTATTTATACATTATAATAAGTGCCATTTCGATAAAACGTTCCAGGTAAGTGAATGTGGCTGCAATATTTGCAGCGAATTGATTCATTTTTCGCTAACAAGTGATTGTTTTAACACTGTTTTGTATGGTCAATTAAAACTTTGAAGAATACAACAGCAAATGACGAAACGTTAGCAGAAATAAAGATAATTTAGGAAGCCTACATTAAAAAAATATCGAAATACGTGTATCATTAGTTGAATAATGTTTTATTAAATTTAAATTACAAGGTATCAGATTAATGAAGTCTGTTTAATATGCTCTGCATAATAATGATGTATATTACCCAAGGAATGCTGTCTGCATTCAAAATTAATTACATACCTATTACTAATTTGTAGTGCAATAGGTACATACACGGATTTTTTCTGTGAAAACTACAAAATTATTAAGTAAAATATCTAATTAATTCTGTCTAAAGGGCGGACCATTTGTATTTAAAACAGTTTCCCAAAAAGAAAAATATAAAAATGATACAACTTTACACAAGATTTAGAAATTATATTTTGGTCGATAGTATTATTTGTCGTTCATAATCTAAAATTTGTTTTTCTTTGATTGTACGAATTTCCATTGTTCTTTTGTGAATGTAGTGGGTGAGTATGCGCAAAATGAGTCATTTGCAATCGATTTAAAACGTTAACGCGACCCTACCATCGAAGCTGCTTTCACTTTTCCCCGCATTGAAATGTTTTCCTTGCTACCCCGTTAAAGTATTTTTACCAAAAAATCAAGAAATAAAACACAATTTCGTTATGGCCTTCTCAAACAATTCATCTATTTTAAAACCTCAAACCCCTTTGGAACAGTTACTCGAAGAAATTAATTTTCAAAGGACCAAAGAAATGAGACAGCTTCTTAAAGATGGTATGATTTTTCTTATTTAATACATATAGTAAATTAATATTGTTCGTTTGTTTTTGATAAACAATGGAATTCATTGACTGTACAGATTCGGATTTTATAATGCTTCAAGGCACAACGTATTGGACAGATTTGTTCGTAAGACATTTCCTGTTTCAAAACGAATCATCGATAGATAGTGATGATCTTTTATTTTTTGTAAGGAAAAAACACGTCAAAGGATCACCTAGATATCTTCCTAAATTCGAGGTGAGTTACGGTGATTTAAAAAAAAATTATATATTTATGCTTTATATTTTAAAATGACAAAAAGTTTTTTAAATGATTTACCTGACTATGAGTGAGTAATTTATGAGTACACGTATGATTAATTACATAGGATTAGTTAAGCTGTATATTCTGTTACGAGATACATACCTACATATCTAGTATAATTACGCCCTAATTAAGGTCGTTTTTATGTGAGGAATTATTACTTTAATTGTCCTATTCTACTTACCGACAATTAACTTTGCTCTACAATATTTAAGTTCCCCCCAAGAAATCCTCTGACGTATATTCTTCGATAAACATGTTTTATTTAAAAATAAATATGTAGTTAATGTATCTTTCTTGATTACATAAATAATGCTTTTATTGGAGTTAGCAGTTGATTGATGTTCTTTTTTGGGTATATCAACACATTCATATATTTGTTATTCAGTTAGCATTTTTTTATGTTCCTTTGCCTATTTTATTCATTAATAGTAAGTGTATCAAATGATTAAACCACAAAAGCGTTGAATTTACATAAGAATTCTTTGATAAAAATCAGCGATTAGTAACTTCCTTCCTACATTTATACGTAATGTATAATAAAATCTACTTACTACTGAATTAAAAAATAAGGTTTTAATTTCTCTTTTACTATTTTATTGCAACACAGAATTTTTTATGGTTCTTATTTCTAGACTGAAGTTGATGTGTTTAGAAAAGATAGTCGTAAGCTTCCTATAGGCGATCCAACAGTTGATTGGGAAGAGACTGTTTATTTAAATCTAATTATTCATCAATTTGAGTATACGTTAACTTTGGCAATTTGTACACGAACGAGTCCTAAACAGTTGCAAGTTCTTAAACGTCATTCCCAAAAGGTTTATGCATCTCCCAGTCGAAGAAGAATGGACACCAAGGGCGATGTAGAGGAGATAACGTATCCCCACATTTGCTTCATGGTGGACAATTTCGACGAAGTGTTTTGCGATATCCTGGTAAGGGATGGCGAAATGGTTTGTGTCGAATTAGTAGCTTCTGACAAGGAAGGGTCGGTTCAAGGGGCAATTTTTCTAGGATCGATAAGATACGATGCACTCAAAAAAGTTTACGATGCTAGAGTAAGTTGCTAAATGTGTACAGGGTGTTAAAAAGTCATTGAAATTTAAATTTCAGCAATCTAGTTTAAGCACAAAAGTAGCACAAAGAATGACATTTGGTTTGTTTTCGAATTCTGCATCCCAAAGATGCGAATTCGTTCGGATGAAAGGACCTCAGGGTAAAGGACATGCCGAAATGGCTGTTACAAAACCTAAAGGTTCGGGTGCGGAGACTCCTTCATCCGAACCCGGTTTTTGTGCGACTGATATTTGGGATTCTGACTGGGAAGAAGATTCAGAAGAATTTTTTATTTATCGTCATCAACGAAGACTTAGCGATCCAAGTTCCAATCTAAATAATTTCGTTAGGGGTGGATGGAAATCTAAGCTTGATGTGAAATCCAGGTCTGAAAACGAAGGACTTGATTACATGGACAATGGGTTTGCAGAAATCGAAGCAGGAGATGTAAGAGATGGTATGTTTGTTTATTCCCATATATATACGTATGGTTTTGATTTTTTATTAAACATTGCATTCGTTTTCTTATTGTTACATTAATTTTCTAATAAATTAATTTACAAAGACTTTGCGAAATAAATCAAATTATTACAAAAACATGCCTTGTCTTCAATATAATTTATTTTTTTGTAATAATTTCTTGCATGTTAAATTTATTTTGAATAGACGGTTCAGTTGCATGTTCAAAAAAGTTATTAGATTTTTTTTTGGTAAAAACATTTTTAAATAATAATGTTATAAAACTTACATGAAGAATAGTTGCCATAGGTAGAGGGGAATATGATTACTGATACATATGTCAGTGTTACTAACATAACAGAAAAAACGAAATGCTTAAACTCAATTCACCGAGGGGAGAGTTATATTTTTTTTATAAAACTTTTACAGTAAGTAACTATTTTATGAAAACGCTCTTTAAATACTGTATGAAGTAGGACTAGAACTTAGTCTATTAAAATAAATGACGAAACATGCCGTAAATATACATGAAATTATTTCGTTACTTTTTACAAACGAAGTGTTTGTTATACATCAGTAATAATAATTTGTAGAGTAGTAGTATCTACATGAAATTATAACAGTTGAGTAACTTTTTTCTTTTTCTCTTTTTGGTTGTAGTTAAGTTTGGTCCTGCTTCATCGGCATCTAAAGATGGTTGCTGTGGTTGTTTTCGTCATTATCGGAAGGAGTCGATAGCCTTATCTGAGGTTTACCATCACTCGTGTACTGCTAGTTGCTTAGAAAGAGGTCCTTTAGATCCCACAGGAGAACAATGCACTTGCCCCACAAATAAGCCCAACAAAAGTAAACGTAAAAATCAAAAAAAGCTTAAGAAAACAACCACCGATTCGGATTCCAGAAAAACACCCACCAACGAATTTGAATATGCGGATGATGCCGTAAATTTAGCGAATGATTTTTTTGGGAAAAATGATTTACAATCAAAACGTTACGAACCAAAAACTGATAGTAATGGTTTTTTAAACGTAAACGGAAGCGTGGAATTACCCTGTTCTGAAAATGTCGGGGGATATTCTTTGTCTAACACGAGGCCAGTGTTGCAAATAAATAGGGATAATAAAGGCGCTCATCAAGTACATAATACTAAAAATAATAAAAGTAATAACAACGCCGATAGCAATACAATGTCTGAACCGAAAATAATTTTTAATATTGACCCTAATTATAATAAGGTAATTTATAAAAAGCTTAACGGTTTATGCACTCTGCCCAAGATGAAAAATAGACACAAGCTCGTTGCCCTACCCCCACATAGAATTACACCAGATGGTACTCATATTTACTATTGGTGTGACTTAAATCGAAAAACTGCAAACGGTAAGATACTTTATATATATATNCAATACATTATATCATTTAATAGTCAAGAAGGAAACATGCTGGTTTAAATCTAAATTTAAACTTGATTAATATATTGTAAGTGTAACTTAATGTGATAAATAATAAATTAATTGTAAATTGAATCAAGATTCTAATTCCGATAAATTTAAGAATATCAGAATTGCATACATATATTTTATGTTCTATTATTTACCACAATTTTCTTACGTCTCATAAGTGAGCAACCAGCTTTTTTTGTTGATTCCTTCATTATTACTTCGTGGATTTCTTAACATTAATTAGCGTTATGAGTAATTTATTCTCAATAAATGAAAACTAAAATAACGAAAAAGAAAATGAAATTGCAATATGTGAAACGACAATTTTAATAAATTAGAACGTTAATGTCCATTGTTAACTAGGCATTTTTTTTGCAAAATAAGAATTTGCAATTATTAAGAATTATTGCTGTTGCTAAAAGAAAATTGCAAGGTTTGGAGGCATAATTTATTTGCTGGAGTTACTTTTAATGTAGGTATGATGATTTATGCATGAGTCACGAAAGTATCATAGTTCAGTTTTCTTTTCTGTTTCGTATTATTAAAACAATTATTATTAGTTCTTATCAAATATTATAAAAGTAAACATAAAAAGAAGAAGAAACGATTGATAAATTCAGTAATTTTTTAATATTACGAAAAGAAGTAAATGCAATTGAATTGAAATTATGATGTATCAAAAAAATATATTGGAAGCAATTAGCTAATGGCAGTGACATTTATTTCTGTATTTTATTTGTATTGGTCGCTAATTTGTATTAACTTAATATACATACTTGTAATAAAAAATAATTTGCAATTAATTTGGTCCAAAAACCGACATTCTTTTAGAATTTAGATTATTTAACCAGTTTATTTATTAGTTATTCCTGAATGTGTACTGGTTATTATAATTTTATCTTTGATTGTTATTGTTTATCTTTATCGCTATTTACTAGGATACAGTGAATTTATACAAGTATAAAATTGTTTATTGTTTTGCTATTATCATTACTTATTGTGAATCATTCTCACGTGTTTTGTTATCTGTTTTCTAGAGTTTGTGTATATGCAATAACTATTTTAAAAGGGTGCTTTTATGAGTTTAGCCATTAAGCAAGTGGCATTAAAAAAATGTTTAAAATATGTATAAACACTATTTATTTTATCGTAAGAATGGAAAGTTACTTTCAACTTTCCACCGACTTTAAGAAAAAAAAGGGGACTCGGTTGGAATATATTTTTTTTTGTGTGAATGTTACGCGATTTCTTCGCCAATTGTAAATTGATTTTAATGATTCTTTTTTAATATATAAGTTATATAGGTCGCATTTAAATTTGAAGAAAATATTTCACCTGCAAAGGTGCAAAATTAGAGGATAATAAAAAAAGTAGTCGGAAATTAACGCAACCTCGTTGCTTCTGTCAGATCTTTTTAACTTTTTTACTTTAAATATGTGCAAAAATGAGCATTGCATTTAATGATTTTTTTCAGATCAATCACCTAAATGATAGCCATAAGCATTTGATGGTGCAATGGATAGGTAAGGGTAGCGACGTAATTATTTGTTTGGCTCGCGATCCTCCTACATCGTATGAAACTGATGTTATGAACTCCTCCAGCGTTTATATATCTTATGATTACGGTAATACCTACGAAAATAAAACTGAATTATTCAAAATTTCGAATAAAACGTATTCTGTCGTGGAGAAGTTCTACAACCATGAAAAGTACAACACTCATGTAAGTTTGCAGTTTCTCTGAAATCTATCGAGTAAGACTCCTGTTTAAAAAATTATTTCTTTATAGTTTGTCTTTACGGACTTGAAAAATAAAGTCTTATTTACGACCAAGAATCATGGAAGAGATATTAAAAAAGTGCAGTTGAAATTTACGCCCAGTGAAGTATCTTTTCACGAATTTCAGCCCCAAATTTTCCTGATTTTGGACAAAGTTGATTCTAAACGGCCTGTAAGTATTAAAAAAATCATTGCTTATTATCTAAAAACTGAAAAAGGTTGTAAGATTGTTTTTGTATGGTCATAGTTTAAATTTCTATAGTTTTTGCAGTAATGAGTCTACGACCTTAATAAAAAGTCTGTCGTCATAATGTTTTTGTTTTTAAATTCACTTTACAAATGTATTTAGTAATAATCAATAATGGCTTCGTACCAAAAAGAAAAGCTAATGAACTGTGAAATATTTGAAAAGCAAACATCAAAGTCTGACTCAGTTATTATTTTGATGCAGAAAAATATAATACATATGTACTTATGTGCGTAGTTCTTTTATCATTAACGTCGTTCATTGTCCAATAAAAAAAATTCTATTCGCCTAGGCATAATCTATGCATATTAAAACATTGAAAATATTTACAGAAATAGTATGTAATTGAGGAAATAAAGGACGTGTTAGAAAGATTTTTTTTCTCGAAACTTTTCATATTTCATATTAAATGAAACAGGTTGAGTTTCTAGATAGTGTTATCATGTCTTTGCTTATGTGGAAACGTTTCGCCGTGCTGAGCAGACGCATATTCAGTGCGTTTTGTTTCGTAGTGAGAAGCCGAACGAACATTATGACGAAACGTCTGCTGCAAACGACACTACAGTACCTATTACCTAGGAACTTGGCCTGTTTCAGAATGCCTTAAAACCATTTTTTGGAAATTTTCAATGTTAAAACTTAAAAACTACTGACCTAATTGTAATGTAAACATTTTTTAGTAAGCGGATTTAATGTTTTCCAAACAACATTTTCTAGCTTTACCTTACTGAAGATTTCGGAGATAGTTGGCAGATAGTAGATGAGTTTGTGGAATCTTTTCACTGGATTTCTGAAGATAGCACTAAACTTAGATTAGTATTGCAAAGGAATGAACCAGGGGGTTGGAGCAGTATTTTTTATTGTATGGACATAACAAAGGACAAAAGGTGGCATTTGTATGCCACTGAAGTTAAACATTTTTTCGTGAAAGAGGATTACATTTTCTTTACCAAAAATGCCAGCAAGGTAAGAGCTTATAAAAGAAACTATATCTGTAAAGATTTAGACTAACAAAAAAAAAAAAAGAAGCAAGAAAAAGTTGTGAAAAGTATAGAGTAGACTAACTTAATGTGATAAATAATAAATTAATTGTAAATTGAATCAAGATTCTAATTCCGATAAATTTAAGAATATCAGAATTGCATACATATATTTTATGTTCTATTATTTACCACAATTTTCTTACGTCTCATAAGTGAGCAACCAGCTTTTTTTGTTGATTCCTTCATTATTACTTCGTGGATTTCTTAACATTAATTAGCGTTATGAGTAATTTATTCTCAATAAATGAAAACTAAAATAACGAAAAAGAAAATGAAATTGCAATATGTGAAACGACAATTTTAATAAATTAGAACGTTAATGTCCATTGTTAACTAGGCATTTTTTTTGCAAAATAAGAATTTGCAATTATTAAGAATTATTGCTGTTGCTAAAAGAAAATTGCAAGGTTTGGAGGCATAATTTATTTGCTGGAGTTACTTTTAATGTAGGTATGATGATTTATGCATGAGTCACGAAAGTATCATAGTTCAGTTTTCTTTTCTGTTTCGTATTATTAAAACAATTATTATTAGTTCTTATCAAATATTATAAAAGTAAACATAAAAAGAAGAAGAAACGATTGATAAATNAACAAGGTCCAAAATACAAACAACACCTACGTTTTTATGTTTCCAGGAGTCAATTAAGCTTTTTACTATCGGTAATCAATCAAATTCGCCTTTCTGTTTTTTCTAATCATTTTTGAATAACTTATAGGTAGTTTTTTCCCACCTTTCTCCTTAATTCCTACCCTTCTTATTTACTCCTGGTTAGAAAATTACCGTCGTACAACTCGTACTTTCTATACGATGTAAATATTGGATTTGCATATGCACTGTTACATAGTTACGTTTATTAGCTTGTAGTTTTTATCGTTTAACAATGCTAGATATTTACAGAGTTGGACGACGGGGCATATAATCCTTTGTGGACCATGAGAGGATTTACTCAGACGTTTCATTTTTGGAAGGAGAATAAAAGAGCTCAATCCACTCCCCTTAATGCATTTTTAACCTACATCACTCTTCCTTGGTGGAGTATTGCTAAAGGTAAGCTTTTAATTTAAAAAAAATATTGCTATAGCTTAATACTAATTAAACTATTAAACGTGTCTTTTTTTTAGATATTCTTGACCATCATGAGGCACCTATTTTAACCTTTTAGTACTTATTTATTACTATTCCAATGAGAATGAATGGTTTTGAACGATTTTGATGTAATGATTAACAATATACCTATTTATTATTAGACTTAAAGTGAAGTATAAACATTCCTTTTAATAAAACTGTTCATTTTTGTTATTTTTTCTTTCATAAATAGGATTTATTCAACTGATTATACGTTTGTATACTTCATTACCATTTTCTAATGTACTTTTGAAGAGGACCTTCCCCACTACCTTCATGCCTTGCACTAGAATGTGGGTTGGAGGGGTTTCCCCCACCCATTTTTCTGAATTAGTAAAACTAAAGAAAACCACCTTATGGAAATAAATCTAATTAATTAACGGACGGATAATAAAAAAATTGTAAATAACTGACATGTTTATTACATTTTTTACTAAATATTTACAATACTAAGAAGACTGATTAAATCACACTAAAAATGTATTAAACAAGCTGGGTACAAATACTACTTTATTATTGTGTAGACCAGTTCTTTTGCATGTGTTTCTCATCTAAAACTCTCCAGTTTGGTGATGGTTTGTCTACATTTAACCAGTTAAAATCATCAATTGCAGTCCAATTATTTTTTTCTTTATTAAGACCTGAATCTTCAAAGTCCTGTTCAATATTGTTGTATTTTAAGTTGTATGGGGCAAAACTGATATCTTTGCAGTCTTCTATGATTGCTCTGCTTGTAACATGTAAATATATTTGAACACTTTGAGAACTGTGCAAACGAAGTTGTTGACAAGCTACTACAAAAGTACAGTTTCTACAATTATTAGCAAATATAGAAGTTGATACAGGGCCTGATAACACTATGCATTCCACCATTTTGCTCATATGAAGTGTTGAAGGATTTCCAAATATTTTAATAGTACATTTTGATAAATTTTGTAATCTAACATCATTTTTGGAAACTGTTTCTCTGTCCATCTTAAGATTTTGGTTTGAAATATTTTCAAAACCACAGTTTTTAACAGGAATATAACATTTTGATAATGAACTAGAATCAACTTCATCTACAACGTTCTTTTGATCACTAGGCACTGGTAGTTTTACAGTGTTCTTATTGCGATTTTTGAATGAGAATTTCTTTTTGGGCAATAATTGTTCTTCCAATCTATTACATTTGCTGTTCAATTCGTTTAAAATTTCTTGGTATCTTTTGATATCATATACCCTCAGAAATATATTAGAAGAAGCTACAAACTTTTGAAGTTGCAAAATTTTTTTTGAAATACTATCAAATTGTTCAGGTAATTCTTTTGTTTCTAGATTATTTAAGCCATTAAGATCGTTCTCAATACCTGCACGCTTTTTATTAAATTCATTATCAAAGTATTCTATCTTTTCATTTTCTGCAGCTGATAAATTTTTATCATCTTGTTTTTTTTTAAGTTCTAGTTGACGTTCCGTTTCACGTTTTAATAAATCGCAAATTTTGTCACACCGTCCTTCCAGCACTTCCATGGTAATTATTTCCCTACTTTCTTACAGATTTTTCAATTTCCTCTTTAGTTGCTCTATAAAATGGGGTGTTTGACTTTGAAGCTGAAGATAAAACATCCATAAACTGCTGTGACTGATTTCTTCTTTCTAAAGGTGGATCCACACCTCTTAAATTCTACAAATAGAGAAATAAAATTAATTACAGGAATTTCATATTATTAGTTTCAAGGTTATGATTTACCGCTGGTGTTTCCTTCTGTGTTGTTATTTTCAGAAGTGCATAGCCACTAAAACTGCACACAAAGAGCCAAAATGCAGATTTTATAATTTTATCGGCCATACATCTAAGAACTTGTCCTCTTCCAGTAATCAGAATCTATCAAACGAATGTTTGTATTTCCAAATTTATCGTCTAACGTATAGTAAAATTCCAATATTTTCGGAAAATTGTTGCGCATATNTTGGCGAGAACAGCTGACGAAGGGCTGCAGCCAGGGCCGTACCAATCGAAATTTCTTCCGATTAAATAACTTTAGGAGCCTGTATCTCAAGCTCCATTGGTTTCCGCACGGAATTAATGCTACCACACGATTCTACTTAGTGAGTACTACCTACCTGACTAAACTTCATGTCTCAATTCCAATGTCAACTAATGTAAAAAATGACCGTTCCAAGGTTATGATTTACCGCTGGTGTTTCCTTCTGTGTTGTTATTTTCAGAAGTGCATAGCCACTAAAACTGCACACAAAGAGCCAAAATGCAGATTTTATAATTTTATCGGCCATACATCTAAGAACTTGTCCTCTTCCAGTAATCAGAATCTATCAAACGAATGTTTGTATTTCCAAATTTATCGTCTAACGTATAGTAAAATTCCAATATTTTCGGAAAATTGTTGCGCATATAAAGTCGAAAATCTGAAAATGTTTAATTTTGAATAAAAAAATACGGTTACCATGCAAACCAATACGAACTTACCCCTTTCTCTATTTAATTTATACCAAACACCGTAACTAAATGCAAAGGTAATAGCTTCAACCACAAACAACGCAGTAGCACTTTTAATTAGAATTTTTCTACCCAAAGGTTTCGGATATTTTGGAAGCATGCTACTTTTTTCGTAAATAAATTAACATTTGTTCGTCACTAAAGTTTGTCATTATCCATCTCATTATCTAAATTTGGGCAGCACAGATTGGTAGCACTTGAGAAGTAACCATAGTAAATTATATGATATATGGGTATGGTAAATTCCTTATAATTGTCCTCAGTTATTGTCCCACATATATTACCGGTAGTGCTAATGAATAAAAAAACGGAAAAAACCTGAATTTTCTGTTTAATCCATTAAAATAATGAAAATGGAATCTTCATTTTGCTGAATGAAAAACTAGAATAAGGGACCAGCCATATAATACATAGCATGTAGTGACTTGCTAATTCGTTATAGGTTAATCTATGGTTATCAATGTTTGCTAGGTTTGCCAGCCTGGTAGAGTAATTTAGTCATTGTTTATGACAACGAATTATATTTTATTCTAATTTGTTCATTATTCGATGAGCATTAACGGTTTGTGCACGTACTTTGACGTTTATCAGCTGAAGTGTTCAGGTGTAATTTGTGGTGTAGAAATTAACTGTATTGTGTCACGTTAGCGGTACTTCTAATTACTGACATTAAAAAAACATAATTAGTTAAATTTTTGCTAATGTGATGTGAATAAATAAAACGCTTTACAATGTCGATATCACATTGTGCAATTATTGTTTGTGTTCAATTAACTATTATATTTATTTTACAATTTGGTGAAGCAGATTTTCAAACATTATCGGCATTTACAAAATCTGGGAAAAATGTGTTGACATTAGATGCATCTAACTCTTTTATTAGCGAAACCCTCCAACCCCAATCTCGTATCAGAAGGAACTCTCTGAAAACGATGAATTCCACCCAACCAAGGATTATAACACAGGTAAACAAATAAACAAGATACTTTGTATGACTTTCGTTATTCCTACATATTTAGGTGCCAATTATTCTATTATGAAGCCTTTTATACATAGATTGAATTAAATGATGCCCACTTTCATGACAATAGTTTAATGTACCAGGCATGTTTATGCTCTAGAATATGTTTTAAAAGGCTTCAGAAAAATATTTTAAAATCTACTTAGAACCGTATAAAATCTTCTGGATGTTTGCCAGTATCACAAACATTTTGTTGACTATTAAAATATAATCATCCTACAACAAAGAGTGCGATATTTTTAAACTCAAAGATTTGAAAACTTTTATATGTATATCATAATCATGTTATTAATTTCTTAAATTAAAATTATTACGTACCTGTCAGCTACCCTTACTGAAAGATTCTAAAAAAATTCCACAAATATAAAAAGAAAACGTAAAAGCATAAAACAAAAGGATGTTAATCTGTTTACTACATTTCCAATACTTTATTATCTAATCTTTTGTATACTAATGCTTTACATGAGAGTAATTGTTTTAATTAATTCTATAGCATTGTCAATTTCTTTATTAAAAAGTTGATACCTGTAAGTAGTTTGATTTTAATAAAGATATTACTTCTAAATGAATCAAGAAAATTACAGGTGCTTTTGTAAACTTTATTATTTGTTACTATAGTATTTGAAAATGCCAAATTTCAATGTATTGATAAGTTTCGTATGGATATATATTGGGAGGTGCCATGTTGCTACCCTTATTTTGATTTTGTTTTTGCTTTAACTTACAAAGTTATAGGTAATAAGTTGTATCTTTTTTTTATATATATAAAACCGTTAACTATAAACGTTTATTACAATTTACCGATATATATATTTTATCTACGTTATATAAAATAAAAAAAAGCACGTACAGGGGAATTACCTAATTTGATCATTCGCATTTGGTATTTCCCCTATATTGGAATGTGTATGTAAGCTTTCATATTTTTTTTATTGATTATTATAATTCTAGAATATTTTATCTTTTCTCCTCCATTAAGTAGTTTGTGTATAAAATAATCTATATGACTTTACATTGATATCTTATTGGTCAGTATTTTACAATCGAGATATGTATTTTGCGAAGTTTCAAAGCTAATATCTTATTAGTTTCGGGAACCGTCAGAGGAACCTGAGGTTAATTTATAGTTACAATCAATATATTTATCAACCGAAGTCTAACTTTAATAAAACGTTTATTACATTGGTGTGTTATGCTAGATTTAGATTTGATTGAACAAAAATGAAGAAACAGTACATTTCAATACATTATATCATTTAAT